CCTCCTGGTCAGATATAGACTGGAGGAACCTGAGACTATGGCCCTCGACCACCCTTCAGATCTGGAACCGAACTCATGCTAAGGGCCCAATTGTCAGCTAAACAGTCGGTCTCTAGTGGGAACCGCAGCACTAGTATGGTGCGCTCACCATGGAATGGTCAATCATTCAACTGCAACTTTGACGGTTTGGGTAGTGCGTCAACAGGCATAAATATCAGGAAGATACAGGTATTCAAGTATGACAACATTCATTCTCTATACGGTGGAGCTACCTAAGAAGCATGTTTATCATATGCACTGTGTTTGAAGCAACTCTAGCTGAAGATGGGAGTTTCAGGTGAAGATAATGAGTAGCCCAAGAGAAGCATAAAAGCAATTTAAACAAGAAAATGCATATGGCACTGGAGCATCCAAGACCTAATTCAGTCTCTGCAACTATGTAAATCCGTGCTGTCATTTCAGTCATTCCTTCTTTTATAGTGAGTTATGGTATTGGAGGAGAATGCTGAAAGTACCATGGGCTGGTACAATCAGTGTTGGAAGAAATACAGTCAGAATGCTCCTTGAAAGCTAGGATGGCCAGACCTGTTCTCTCATACTTCAGACATATTAACAGGAGGGACCAGTCCCTGGAGAAGGAAAGGATATCATGCTTAGTAAAGTGGAGGGATGGAGAAAAAGAGGCAGACCCCCAACAAGATGGACTGGCACAGTGGCAGCAGCAATGGGCTCAAATACAGCAATGATTGTGAGGTTGGCGCAGGACCGGGCACAGGGTCGCTATGAGTCGGTACCAACTCGACCTAACAACAATAGTAAAATTCTATGACGGAAAACTTCTTAGAAGAAATTTCTCATTAGAAATGAACAGCTCACTACTGTCAAGCAAATCAAATTGATGGATATTATCAAATCTGTGACACAAATCAAAACATTGCCTGCCTGCCAGAGTTCATTTTTGTGAGAACCAATCTGTAATGAAAGCTTGGTAACATCAAAGTCCAAGTATATTGTGCAAGGTTATAAAAAAATGAAATGACCCAAGGCAGTCACTGTCTATAGCCAATCTCTTGCAATGACAAGACGGTGGGTTCAGTTTAGCCAAACCAAAAAAGGCCAAAGTTACTCATCTTTTTCAGGAGGTAGCTAGCTCCTTGGTTCCCATTAGTTTTGCAGACAGACGACACTATAAAGGCAGAGCTTATTGATAGAAAGTGGAACAAAAAGCATAAAATACCTTTTGAGCTATGAGAAGCCATACCAAATGCTGTTAAGTAAAAGCAGTATAAATGAATTTGGTGCCCAGAAGCTAGTTAAATTTAAAAAACAAAATTTATTTTTTAACTATAATATCAATTCAAAATGGTAGACTATATTATTGCTGGGAGTTTTCTCTGATGCAGAGGTCAAAAGAATGAGACAAGGCTTTAAAAGATGTAGGTCTAAAAGACAGGTTAAAAATATTTTCAAACAGGAAGGAGTACAAGATGGAAAATATTCCTGACTTTGATCTAAGTGAGAAAACTTTATCTTCCAGGGTTTGAAGGGTTTTCTTTGGCATTTATTAAATGTCCCGAGAAGTGTTCATCCTTGAAAGATACTGACATTTTCTAGTTAAACTATCATTACCAAATATGGACTTTCAGAAGTCTGCGATTTCCTGATAGTAGAGCTACATAACCAAATGACCAAATAAGCCACACACACAAAAGAGAAGAACTTCAATGTAGGAAAGAAGATTTGTGGTCTTACAGACGTGGCTACCTACTCCTGTATTCTCCAAATGACACTTAGGTTATATGCAAGATACATCTCCTTACCAGGACATTTGCTTCCAAATGCAATGGAAATACATGTGGAAATTCTGCAAATGTTGGAAATAACTATCCTAATTCTTACAGCGTGCAAATGCTCGCAAATGCAACAGGTTATTTGTTAAGAGAAAGTTACCTTAGAGGTCATAGACAGTGATGCCCTAAACTATAATGTGGAGATAAAAGAATAATCTTAAAAACTTCTACTTCATAGAGAAATACACATTATTTATCAAATTAAAATATCTTATCATAATTTTATATCTAGATAGAAACTTCACATACTCAAGATTCAGCATTCTAGCAGCAGTTCTCCTTTCACTGCCAAGATACCTGCGACATACCTTATGTGCAAAAATAAAGTAAGATGAATAAATCATTGACGTAGATGATAGTCACACACAATATTTTTGATAAACATATACATATATATATATATGATGTATAGCAATTGAAACAATAAGAGTTTCCACTACTGAATGCCTACTATATACCAAAAAGTCTATTGGACAGCTCTGTATGTGATTGCATTTTATCCGTCTGATAGCATCAAGTCAGTACTATTAACCAGGGTTGCCCAGATGGACAGAGACTAAGACATGTTAAATCATCCACCAGATGTTACACAGTTAGTGGCAGGGCTGTGATTCAAACCTAAGTCTGTTGGTTTCCAAAGTCTTTGATCTTTCCACAGTATAATAAATCACAGTGGTTGGGGGATGAGGGGAATCACACCTGAACCATCTAGTAGCCTTGGCGGTTTGGAGTAAACTATCTGTTCTCTTCAATTCAGTGCCTCTCTTTATAAAACATGTAAGTAAAGAAGCCCTTCCTGGGGTGAATCTGAAAGTTAATATAACGTGTGTGTGCAGTACGTTGCAAGTAGAATGCTCTTAATATTCACTGCTTAGATTTTTCCCAATGCATCTCACGTGCCATTGCAGCAGTCCTCCAGATAACGGATGTAAAGGACATCTGAGCAGGTCAGCTGGCACTGTAGTTAAGAGATTGAATCATGGACTGTTGGAGCAACAAAGTAACTTCAATTAGATCCAGCTCAATACCTCCACCAAATAGCTACAGAAATCGAGGGACAGAGATTTAACCATAACAATTATGTGGGTGCACATCTTGAACCACCTTGATCAAAAGCCTTTCTTTTTCTCTCTTACCCTGGCTTCTCAGTTCTCCTTCAGCACCTTTGGCAAAAGAGAGGTAAATGCCACCGAGAGAATTAAACGATGCCACCTGACTTAGGAACGAGAGTGGGAGATACCTGGGGACTTTAGTGACCTGCATCAATCACTGTGAGGTGGGTAGGAGACCTGCTTCTGACTGTTCACATAGCAGGTGTCCTCTCAAAGAGAGGTACAAAAGACAAATCTCAACTGACGTTGTTGCTCTTGGCCATTAAGGCTTTTTTTCATACCAGTGACCCCAGGCGACAGAACTGAACGGCTTGCTCAGTTCTAGGCTCTTTTCCAGGCTGTAGTCTCTATGGGAGCAGACGGCCACATACATCTATTCTATCAGAGAGCTCCTGAGGGGGGTCAAACTGTCAACCTTTCGATTAGCAATTGAGGGGCTTACCCACTGCACCATTCAGACACCTTACTCTACTGATGTGGTTAGGTGCCATCAAGTCAGTTCTGACTCAAAGTGAGCCTGCGAACGACACAACATAACACTGCCCAGTCCTGGACCACTCTCACCATCATTCCTATGTGTGAGTCCACTGTTCTAGCCACGGTGTCAGTCCATCTCGTTTGGCCTTCCACTCTTTCACTGACCTACTTTACCAAGTGTAGCCAGGGACTGGTCCCTCCTGACCACATGCCCAAAGTGCATGAGACAGGGTTTCATCAGCCTCATTTTAAGATTAACAACTTCTTCCAACACAGACTAGTTTCTTCTTCTGGCAGTCCATGAGGCTTTCAATATTCTTCTTCAACACCATAACTCAAAGGCATTGATTCTTCACCGGTCTTCCTTATGCATTATCCAACTATCACACGCGTTTTTGAGGCAATTAATAATACACTATACTGTATGATTTCAATATACACGAGGGGGCTTCAGAAAGCTCATGGAAAAATCTCATTATCTTTAATTCCTTTTTTCTACAACACTGCTATTAAGTTGATTGCAACATACAGCAACTCTATAAGCAGGGCAGAGTAAAACTCAATCAGGTTTCCAAGGCTTAAATAATCTTTATTTAAGCAGACTGCCTCCTCTTTTCCCATGGAACAGTTAGTGGGTTTCAATTGCTGATTTTTTGGCTAACAGCCCAATGCCTAACTCACTGTGCCACCAGGGCTCCTAGTAATAATAATTGTTGCTATTAAGTGCCACCAAGTTGGTTTCCATTCATAGCGACCCTTGTATATAGAGTTTCCAAGGAGTGGATAATGAGTTTCAACTGGAACTGACCTTGTAGACCAGTGCATTAACCCCCAGCGCCACACAAGGACTCCATAATAATGTTGTTGTTGTTAGGTGCCATCGAGTTGGTACCAACTCATAGTGACATTATGCACAACAGAACAAAACACTGCCCGATCCTGGGCCAACCTCACAATCATTGCAACGCTTGAGCCCATTGATGCTGCCACTTGGCCAATCCATCTCTCTGGTGGTCTTCCTCTTTTTCTCTGACCCTCCACCTTACCAAACATGATGTCCTTCTCCAGTGACTGGTCCCTCCTGACAACATGTCCAAAGTATGAGAGGTGAAGTCTCTCCATCCTGGCTTCTAA